TCACACAATAACATTAAAAATACATAAACTGTTTGAAACAATAAGTGTGGGCAAATTTCCACTGAAAAACCAACTTTAGCATTGCTAGTTTGGTATCCACAGTTACAATCAGACAAGCTCACATGTCTTTCTTTATGCAGTATTGCTGTAAAAGTGAATTCTCATCAACTTCTGAAATTCACAGTAGAATATAAAAGAACCATGTCTCCTGCTTCCAAATAAGATATTTCTAAATTAATTTGGCTGCCATTTGGGCAAATGTATATGTGTGTTTTGTCTTGACAGCTTGTCAACTAGAAGACAGTTCTTGAACATCATATTCATTTCAATTTAATATTGGTAAATTTCTCAATTAGAATTTTATTTTTCACTTTCTGCACAATGAATTCCCTCAGTCCTGGCTGGCATTCCTCAGGGCATACAGGTGCAGGTGCTGGCATTTCTGCAGTAGCAAAGGAAGAAAAATGAAAGAAGGAAAGAGGGGAGGGAAGAAACAGGCTGAGAGAGAACAGTGGTGATGGGGAGAGGAAGGAGATAGTAGCTGACCTTCATCATGATATTCACCTTGATGAGAAATGAAGGGAATAATTCACACTTGGCAATAAAATAGTGCAGCTGCCTCTGCTCCCTTTAACCAGAGAGGCTGGAGTCAAAGAGAAACCAGACACCCAGGGCTTAAAATCAATACATAAGGGAAGGTACGAAGGTAAGATGGGGAACAGATTAATAAAAATAATTTCAAAAGCCATAACAACAACCAATTATGGAACACTTATTTACTTTATGGCATTCCTTTACCTTGTGTTTTATCATGCAATCCTCACACAGTGAAAGCAGGATAGAAATTATTGTCCTTGCATTACAGCTAAGGAAAATAGGAAGTAATTTCACCTTCCTGATCTCAAAGTCAACCTGATAATCAGGGAAGGAGTCAGGATTCAAATTCTTTTCTTGCAACTTAAATGGATTCTATGTAGGTTTTTGAAGACAAAGCATTTAACACGTGTGTGTGTGTGTGTGTGTGTGTGTGTGTGTGTGGTTGTACACACATTGCATTCTGTAGCTAATAATCTTTAAAGACCTTTTCTTAGCTGAAAATGGTCTTAATGTTTGTGGAAGTTTCTGAGGTTTTCTGTCTCAACAAATCTATCAGGAACATGACTTAGATGCACAGAAAAGGCAGCCTCTAGCACATTCATAGCCAACAGAGTTGGCATTAAGTTGGAGAAATCATAAAAATGAAGTAAAAATAAGAGCTTCCCTGTTCACCATTTACCAGTAATTAATATAAAGTGTGTTGGGGCTAGAGGCTATAGTTCAGTGGTAGAGTACTTACCTAGCTTGCATGAAGTTGTGAGTTCAATCCCCAGCACCAAAAAAAAAAAAAAGAATTTTTAAAAAAGGTAATGTGTGCTGCATGCACTGGAGGTGCCAGTAATTTTTTAAAATACTTTTATTGAAATCTTAATAAGAAGAGGACTTAGGCAAGTTCTCTGACCTAAATGAATAGACTAAAACAAAAAGACAAAAAGAAATGTTACATAATGTTTCTCAGCTCCTTTTTGCCATGTCAGAATACAAAAGGAGTTGCGAAGATGGAAATTTTTGTTCTGGTGTGTGTGTGTGTGTGTGTGTGTGTGTGTGTGTGTGTTTGTCTTTTTTTTTTTTTTTTTTTTTGGAGGTGGTGGTGGTGGAGAGGTAAAGTCTTGCTAGGAAGTTATGTTTCCCTAAAAATGTGTCAATTCAGCTAGCCATAGAGAAACAGCTCCATTTTGAGGAGATGAAAAATAAATAAAAATAGAATTTCTTGCATAAGAGATAGATAAAGTAGAGTCTTGGAAGGAGAAATATATGGGTAAAATATGAAGACCTGAAATCACTTCTTATTTGCTGCTGCAATGGTTATATATCTACCAAGGTTATATTGTCGATAGGTAAGAAGAAAGAGAATAAATGAAACAAAGCCATCCAAAGTCCTTCTGGCTAAGGAGCCTGAGAATTATTTTTCTATGAAAACAAACACAAAAGAATTTATGGGAGTTTTTGTTTATTTTCCAGCATAAATACATAGATTACTGAAGAAGGAACCAATTCAGAATCAAGGATACTCTTTGGTAGGTTACTGAGATAATCCAGAGGAAGGCATTGCAGTCTGATCTAGAAAGACAATCATAAGAGTGAAATGAGATGATGTGTTCAGATTGCACAGCAGTCAGGAAGGAGTAGATTAGTGACTCAATAGGTGAGGTGAGGCTGAGGCTCAAAGGGGGAGAGAAGGTTCCGCATATTGTACCTTTTGTACAGAGGATTTTGGAGTATATTGGGATCAGTGATAAAGTCAGAGGAATTAGGAAGCACAAAAAATAATTTCATAAAAAGAAGTACTAGGGTTTGATTTTTAATATGGAGTTCAAGCTGTCCTTGGGACATTCAGGTGAAAATGTTCAGGAAGCAACTGATAACAGGGTTCCTGGCCTAAGAAGGCAGATGGGGCAGGGGATATGATTTTAAAACCATTCAGATGGAACAAATAGCCAAAGACATGAACTAACCAAGGGAGATAATGGAGGAAAGGAGAGAGGAAGGGAGGGAAAAGGAAAAGAAACTGGAGGCAGACAGGGAGAAAGAGAAGAGAAAAAAGGAGAGAGAAAGGAATAAAAAGAAGGAACTGGAACCACCATTTGAACCAGCTGTCCCTCTCCTCAGTCTATACCCAAAGGACTTAAAAACAGCATAATACAGGGACACAGCCACATCAATGTTTATAGCAGCACAATTCACAATAGCTAAATTGTGGAACCAACCTAGATGCCCTTCAATAGATGAATGGATTTAAAAAAGTGGCATTTATATACAATGGAATATTACTCAGCAATAAAAGAGAATAAAATCATGGCATTTGCAGGTAAATGGATGATGTTGGAGAAAATAATGTTAAGTGAAGTTAGACAATCCCCCCCAAAAAAATGTTGAATGTTTTCTTTAATATAAGGAGGCTGATTCATAGTGGGATAGGGAGCAGGTGCATGGGAGGAATAGATAAACTCTAGATAGGGCAAAGGGGTGAGAGGGAAAGGGAGAGAGCGTGGGGTAATTAATGATGGTGGAATGTGATGATCATTACTATCCAAAGTACATGTTTGAAGACACGGATTGGTGTGAATATACTATGTAAACAACCAGAGATGAAAAATTGTGCTCTATATGTATAATAAGAATTGTAATGCATTCTGCTGTCATATATAAACAAAAAATTACATAAAAAAGAAGAAGGAAGTAGAGGAACAAAGTAATCCTAAGCATTCAGTGACAAAATAAGGGAATGATGTATAGAGCAGATAAAGGCGTGGTAACATCACATTGAATTGCTAAAATATCTTAAAATGTTGAGACTACATTGAGAAGGCAAATAAATTATTTTTATACATGATAATGGGCACCAAAATCTATTCTTGAATATCACAATCAATACTTTGCCTTTATTTGTATCTATAGTAAAGGTGCTGTCGAGGGCCAGGTATGGTGGTGCACACCTGTAATCTCAGTGCTCAGGAGGCTGAGGCAGGAGGACTGCAAAATTCAAAGCCAGCCTCAGCAACAAGCCCCTGTACACAACTCAGTGAGATCTTATCTCTAAATCAAATATAAAAAAAGAGTTGGAGATGTGACTCAGTAGTTAAACATTCATGAAGTTCGATTCCTGGTACTAAGAAAAAAATAATAAAAAAAGAGATGCTGTTGAGAATACTTTATCATATATTTCTTCCAGGTGTTAATATCTGCAAGTGGATAGTTTTCCTGGGTAGTTTGACCTCACTATATAGAACCCGGGCACATGGTTCTTGATCAGGTTTTTCTCTGAGGATTTATTTGATACCAAATTAGGGATTTGAAATAATGACTGTACATGTCTGCATGTACCTAGTTCTGGCCTTTAGTTATTCTCTACATGGGATTTTTATTTGTCTAATCATGATCACCTACCACCTAATCCATAATACATCCTTAAACACAATTTGAAACAAACTTGGATACAGATTGCATTACAAAAAATGACTTTGGTGATTTTGCCTCCTGTCTACTATTTTTGTTAGACAAAGAAGGCTCAAAACTCCCTCCTTTGAAAGTACATGTATGAAGACACAAATTGTTATGAATATACTTTGAATACAACCAGAGATATGAAAAATTGTGCTCTATATGTGTAATAAGAATTTTAATGCATTCTGCTGTCACATATAAATAAAAAAAATAATTTAAAAATATCCCTCCTTTCATTGTACAAGTCTGAGCTTTGAGGGTAACTGCATCAAGGTTGAAGTTTGGGAATAAATAATATATACAAATTAGGATGTAAAAGCTTAAAATTATCTTTTGAAATATATATTTATCTGTACAAAAGGTAATACATGCATCCATGGCTCAGAAAATGTGAGATTTTTCATTGGTGGTAGTCATGGCTCCTAAAATCATTCTGTTAAGAGCTGGCCACAAAAAATAAGTCTCACTGGCAACAGTGACTGCCTAATTCACTGTAGACTCGACCCACCAGCTCAAGTCAATATCTGGCTGACTACAGACCTAGAAGGTTTCCTATTTCTCTATGCACTGCATCTGCATGTGAATAAACACAAACAAATAATTAAACATGAAGCAAATATCAATAGGATTAGCTTGGCATGTTGGAACAAATCTTGATAAATCCGCCTCAGTAACAATACTCCAACTACAAGTCTATGAGAGGAATACAAATTCAGCCTATTGAAATATTGTCGTGTAAGGAGAGATATTTTAATAAAACTGCTCCTCAGTCAGTTCCTATTACTGAGGGACTAAAGCTATTGAGCTGCAGAACTTACGCCAAAAAAGGGGATTTGGAAATGCAAATTAGAGATAAGAAGGTAATAAATGTCTTTTATTTCGCATCACACCATCCCAGATGCCAGGAGCTATTTTAAAGATGACTCTTAATAGTTGTGTGAAATTGGAAGCATACATACCCAGAATGGACATCTCTGGCACCGTAGCATGATAGGGTCCATTAAGAAACTCAGGTGCATTGTCGTTGATGTCTTGAACTTTAATAATAAATTCAGAAGGAGGCTCAAGAGGTTTGTTCGTCTCCCAGTCCACTGCCTGAGCTGTTAGGGTGTACTCAGCCTTTTCCTCTCGGTCAAGTCTCTTTATGGCATGGATATCTCCAGTAACATCATTTATTTGAAAGATTGTCCCAGCTCCATCACCTGAGAGGATATACTTGATTTTTTTACTTCCAGGATCCAGGTCTGTGTGTAGCTAAAAATGAAAAGTGAAGTTAGTAATGCAGCCATCTACAAAGTCACTTTTTAGTTAATTCCTGCTCATATATCAAATTGGTTCTTTTGAAAAGCAACCTCATCAATTTTTGCTAAGGGTGGCTGTACAAATAGTCAATACACTTGTAAGGTATCAATCAGAAATAAAACATAATAAACTTCATCTAAATAGGTTAGAAAAGGTTTTCTAAGGTGTTCTGACCTGTTTAATATACATTCAAACACATGCAGAGGGATAAAAAGGTCCAGATGAAAGTACAAAAATGTATGTATTCTTTTTTATTTTTGAATAGTCATTGAATGATATTTTTATTAGCTACTTTTTATGAATCACTGAGTGATGAGAACTATGTGGATTACTTTTCATAATATCATTTCCTAAATTTTACAAAACTTGAGTTAATATTTCATATAAAATAAGAGAACACTGACATTCAACAGGGCAAGTCATCAGCTACCCAAGTTTCACACCAATGTATTCGAACATGGTAGTGCCAGTTTGACACACATTTGTCTGCTCTATTTATATAAACACAAACAATTCTAAGAACTTGAATTATATTAAAAACTACTGGCTTTTGTTAGACTTTGTTTTCTTTAATAATTCTTACAATTTACAGGATTTTCTTATAGGAAAATCATTTCTGTTTTATAGAGAAGAGCACTGAGGCCCAAATATGGGAGCATATTTTCCAAACTGGAATTCTCTGGGAAAAAAGACTTAACAGGAACCAAAATACATCTCAAGTCATGTCATAATTTTTTTTTTTTACTGGATAAATATTTATTGAGTTTATGTTAGCAGGCAAGTACTCTGCCTAAGACAGGTGCAGGTAAGTATGGGGGAAAAACAGAATCTCTGGTTTTAAAATTCTTACAGTTTGCTCTCAAGAGAGAGACAGGAAAATTCTAATATGTAGTTTCTCCCTTATATCATTTGACTCCTGTTTAAAAAAAAATAAAAAAGCACCAAAATAAAGGAAGAAAATATATGACTTTTGGGTTGCATTTTTTAAAAAATATTAATTTATTGAATTTGAGCTTCAAAATGTTGCTTAAGCACACATATTTCTCATTTAACTCAGTTACCTAACTGCCAATACAGTTCCAAATATTGCACCTTGAGATTTCTATTTTCTTTCTTTCTTTATTTTTTTTTTTTTTTTTTTGAGATTTCAAATATTAGCTTAAAAAAATACTGTCTTGTGTGGAAAAAAAAAAGAAACTCCTAGAAATTCAAAAGACACTGATCTTTCCCAGGAATCCCTTTTATTCATAACTGGCTCTATCACTTTCCTCACTAATTTGAATTGTATTTAGTGCTTCAATAAGTGAAAAGAAAGGGTTATAAAAAAGACATAAAAGAGCAACAAAGAATCCAAATGCATCTCGATTTCCTACTTTACTTTTGAATATTTTAAAAAGTTAAAGCATAAGATTCCATCAAATATTTATTGAATCTCAAAGTGTATCCCTTTCATTTATTGTATTAAATTTATGAACAAGAACAAATATTGAAATGCCACTTTATCTTAATGAATGTGGGATTATAATTCATTAATGTGATATTAATCCTAATTTATGATCATTTTAATTTATGTGCATTTTAACATTTCCATTAGCATTTTTATTAAAAAAAGGAAATTTGAATAATATATCATTCATGGAAACTTCCACTAACGTACAAGCCATTTTTGGAACACAAGAGATATTGGAATGTGTCATTCTTGTCCACAAATTTTTGCTAATTAACAAATAAGCCATTCAAATTGGTTTTATTGTTACTTGTTTGTACCATGTTTTCTTTCTAACTACCAATAACCTCTGATTAGTAAATTGTGTTATAATCTAAGATTTTGATGTTTCTTTGGTTTAAAAATAACTAAAGAGAAAGAAGGAAAGCACAAATTTTGGAAAGAATAAAAGACAAAAGTGAGATTCAGTTCTAACTACATGAACTTATTTATACATTTACGAATAAATGCATATTTATTAGAATTTCAGTTTATTTTTTGGCTACAATATACGGAAAAGACATTTACCCTGCACAATTGATCTTAGACTCCGATACTATCCATCTACTTGAAACGTATTAAAACAAGGAAGTGGGCCACATTGAGAGTTTAGTAACTGAAACCATCTTGATTTCAAAACATGTTCTATTCCAAAAACATGTTCAATTCCACATAAACATTTTAAACTACTTGTTGTAATGGAGTAAAAAAAAAAAAAACTCTATTGAAAAACAGCTATTATACATACAGTAATCCAAACAAAATTTTTTCTTGGTAAATATTGTATGCATCCTCTTCCCCCGCTCACCAGAAACTCATTTTTAACTCATCATGATAAAATCTAGATCTCTAGGCTAATAATAGCTTTGGTAGAGAATATTGCATTTCTGTATTCATTCTTTCATCCTCTCTCTCTCTCTCTCTCTCTCTCTCTCTCACACACACACACACACACACACACACACAAACACACACACAAATTGTTGTTCAGGTAACAGATTTGAAATTACTAAGAAAAGATTATGGGTGTTAAAAAAAAATAGCCATACACAGAGACAGCAAAGGCCCATAAGTCTGGCCCTCCAAAGTATTTGAGGTACCTACTTATGGGCTGTTACTTTTGCTGTTTGTTGATCTTCACATTTCTGACAGACCTGCTCACTTCAATGCAGCAACATTGTCACTGTCAGTTTACCCCATGCAAGGACTCTCTCTCTCTCTCTCTCTCTCTCTCTCTCGCTCTCTCTTTCTCTCTGTGAGAGTGTGAAGCCAAATACACCCCAAGGCTTGGAATGTTCACACACTGCACATCATCTGGAGAGTGAGCTCTGTCTCTCCCAAAGGATGCCTCTGCTAATTAGATAGAGCAGCCTAAGACCATGAGCACATCATCCTAGACAGGGGAGAACCCTTGAGCTGGCTGTGGTACCAGAAGACCTCATCTATTCCTTAGTAAGCAAGTAAAGAGCACTCCTTGTCCTTCTATAATCTTAGGGGTTTTGGTTCAGTATCAAGCAACTTGACACGGTCTCTGTTCTCAAAGACACATAGTTTTATGAGAAAGAAATACAAATAGAAATTTTAGGGGATGTATAGTTATGCTGCTGGTGATTATGTATTGATTAATGTCTGGTAAACATTTTGTATATACATATATGTATTCTCATAATAATACTGAGACCATTTCCCCATTATACCCATGAAATGATTGAGATTCAGAGGTTTTCGCAAAAGAATGCTCTATCAACAAGTAGCATTTTTCTTAAATCAGTGCATTATAATTATACAATGGTGTGCTTTATTATGCCATATATATGGCATAGACATATATATAAAACATGATTTGATCAATATTATTCCCTAGTACCTTCCTTTTCCCTCACTTCCTCTCTTTTCCTAATCTGCTTGCTTTATTCTTCTGATCTCTCTTCAATAGTAATAATAATAATAATAATAATAATAATAATAATAATAATAATTGTTATCATTATTAATGAGTGCATTACAATTCTAAAAAGAAGCAATCTTATCAGCACGTTTTAGAGTTCAACATTTAAGTGCATGCCCTAGGAGCTACAACATAGAAAAAACAGGGGCTCTGACAACACATAGAAATTTTACTTAAAAATGGTTAATAAAGATCTCATTCTAGAGAAACTACAAATGAGGTAAGATGGCACCAGACTATGCAATCGTGAGACCAAGATATAGAATTTGAATTTTCCTATAAAAGAGACACAAGACCATAAAGAGAGAGATTTCAGAAAGGAGCTTGCTAATGACATAATAATGCTTTTTGTTTGTTCTTTTGGTTTTTTTAGTAACATCACAATGGTTGGTAAGTATTTACTAACAAACATCATGGAAGCAAAGAGAAAGAGGAAGTCAGAGAGAAAACTAACACACTAACTTACAAAGCAGTCTCAATTCTGATTGTGTGTGTGTGTGTGTGTGTGTGTATTCGTATGTGTGGTACTCAGGGGCACTCTACCACTGAGCCACATCCCCAGCCCCTTTTTTGTATTTTATTTAGAGACATGGTCTCACTGAGTTGTTTAGGACCTTGCCAAGTTGCCAAGGCTGGTTTGAACTCGAGAACCTCCTGTCTCAGCATCCTGAGTGTCTGGGATTACAGGTGTGCACTAGTGCACCCAGATCAATTCTGATTCTTAAGTTCAGGCCAGCATCCGAGACCTGTATGATCAGATGAATTCCCAGCCCCTCTTCCCACTCATTGTAGCCTGGAGGGGCACAAAGTACCAGATGTGCAATGGTGATCAAAGCCTTTCATACTAAGTCTTCAGTTTCAGAAATCATAGCCTGGCTGCACAAGAATTGAGCTGAATTGCAAGTGTGAGCATCATTACACTCTCATCATCTTCCACATATTTGCATAACACCTCCCAATTAAAAGACAAGTTTATACTAGAAAAGTCGTAGGAAGATGCATTAGCATTTCATTCTCCTTTGTATTCCCACTGCCTAGTATCATGTTTGTCATATTGTTGGAAGCTCAATAAATATTTGTGCCGTAAAGTGCCTGTAAAGGAAAAGAAGGAAATCACATTTCTCATTTTGTTTTCAAAACAATGATTTGAAGAAGGAATCAAAGACTTTTACAAAAGTTAGACCCAAGGATCTAAACATCTTATATGTGGTAAACACAAAGTTCTCAATTTCTTCAAATTATGTATTCAAATTTAGAAAATAACAACATAGGAACTAAAAAATAGTAGAGGGGCTGATTATTATGGGAAGGATGGACAGATGAATAGATAGATGGATGATGGATAGATAGTAGACAAAAGACAGGTGCAACTTACAATCATATATCACCATTCTCAATCCAAGTAAGAACATACATCCTTCTCATGGTCACACTCTATTTGTCATCACAAAAGCAATCAAACAAACAAAAGCCTTTCCTCCTCTAGCATAGGATTCCCCAGGATACTAAAGTCATCAC